GTTTCATTCTTTGGCTTCATAATAATATAGGAACCTGCTATCATGACAAAACATATGTTGAATATGAATGAAATGCATCATAATGAGCAAGTCTTGGGTGAACTTTGACATACCTTGACACAATCAACCCACTTTCAAGCAAGGTAACAAGTTCTATTTTTAGCTCTAACACAAAACCATCATTTCCCAAAAATAATCATAAACAAAATTATAATTAATGTAATTTTAACTGTCAACAGACATGTATAATATATATAAAGACAATTTGTTTTGTTGTTTTTTTTCAACTTTACAATATATAAAATATTTATATAATATAAAAGTGGATATCTCTGTGGTTGTAATTGTATAGTTTTGATTCTGGGTTCAAATCCAATTTATTCCGTAATATGAATAATCCTCTTTCAGCCTCAAACATGTGACATGCCTAAATATGGTCACGATGACATCACATCATGACCATATATGGGCAAATCATGACTGTATATGGGCATACAAAGTTTTTTGTCAAAGAAAATTTGAGTCTGGGTGGAGCTTAACTATATATATAATTTGTTACTATATATATAATTTGTTTACTTCTATTAATTAATTTATTTATTTATTCATTAATTAGCAATTTTACTCATTCACTTGTTTAATTATTGTTGTTTATACTTATTTAATAAATTTATTAAATAATCAATTGAAATGATAAAATTATTCACATGTCAAGAATAATTTAAATAATGGATTATTAATTGTAATCCTATCCAGGTATCATATGTAATTTATTCTTAATATGTGAGTTACAAATCACATAAGAATATTAATCTTTTTTATTACATACTCTATTAATATTAAAATTATTAATAAATTATATTGTGAAATTTACTATAATTTAATTATTTAGTATGACTTTATTATCCACATACAAAGTTTTTTCAACGTTTTAAAAACTATAATATAACTGGTGTACTTTTACATAATTACGGAAATTTAGGAAATTAGTGCACTTCATTACATAAAAATGACCATGTTGATAAGGAACTGCCATGTCATGTACAGTTCAGTATAAAACTATGTCATGTACTCTATATATCATAGAATACCATGACATGCAACATGACATGTAACATGGCATACATGTACTGGTATTCATGCCATATATGCATCACAGAATGCATGGAATATGCAACATGGCATGTGTACTGGTATTTAAGTCATATACATTACACAATACAATACAACATGCCATATGCCAGTACCTGATGCATGAGATATGCAGCATGGCATACTGCCAGTGTTTATATCATATGCATCACAGAATGCATGAGATATGCAACATGGCATATATTTACCAGAGTTCATATCATATATACATCACAGAATATATGAAATATGAAACATGACATAATATGTATTGGTATACTGTACATGTCATCACAAATTCATGGCATATGCAACAGGGCATGTACTATATATCATAATTCATGTCATGTGCTGTATCATAGAATACATGTATTAGTATATATGTGTGTGTATACATACATACAGTTTGCCTCTAATTCGAGACTCGAGACCACCTTTGGGTCCTGAAAGTTTGGGGCGGTTTCGAGGTTTGGTCTCCAATTAGAGGGTTAGCTTTGTGTTAAAAGATTGATGATTGTTGTTTCACTTTTTGAAAAAGTGGTCCTGAATTAAAGGAGTCTCAGAATTAGAGGGTTCTCGAATTGAAGGGTGCACTGTATGTACTGCATTACATCACATTAACCATGTACAGCATGTACAATATGTATATATGCCATTGCCATGCTACCAAAACAATATGTTTTGGTAGCATGTGTTAATATGTGTTAATATTTTCATATATTATTCTGTATGTTTTCAATGGCCTGTATTTACGCATCACATATAGCATGTATGCATACAATATGCATCACTGCATGTATGCAGCATGCACATCACATTACCGGTGTTTAATTACTGCATAGTGAGCCTCTGCCTACAGGGACACCTGTCTTCAGTACTTCCTTTTATTTCACTGTCATTTGTATTCATAAATACTGAAATAGTACTCATACACGGGAAAGCATACCCACAAAAGGCAATGTGAATGAATTGCCATCATGAAGGTATGAATTCAGCGTAATCGATAAAAGAAAGCATTTACCTCTATGGCAGTTGATCAACATGCATTAATGTACATTACACCATAACTAAAAAAGACATACTGGTATACATACTGTATTGTTTAAAAGTATAGAAAAACATAAGAATATAATGCATGCAAAAATAGTGGGCAATATTATATGTACCTATCATTAATATAAATTAATGATAGATACATACATATATCTATCATAAATATAAATTAATGACTATATAATGAATATAAATTATTGCCCGATTCTGGATAGCAATCAATAGCCAAATATGACATGTTCTTAAATGGTTTGTTTATTTGCATGGAATATTATGTGTACATTTTGTGCATAATACTATAATACCGTATACAAATAAAGACCAGGTTATTCATCCAGATGGTAGACAAAGATTGTTCCATGAAAAAAAAAGATGTTCCATTTTCAACTTCCCTCTTAGTTGTCTGCAGTAGTATACTAGTCCTGAAAAATGTTTCTGTTGCCTATTTTCTTTTGACAGCTTGTCCGTAAATTTTGGTTGCCATTTTTAGCATATTCAGCACATTATTTCATCAACATTCGTACGGCAGCCCCCGACTCTAGGCCAGTAAATTATGACTTTGTATGTCTCCAACTGCTAGATCTTCTAGTCTGCTCTGAGTATTATCTCTGTGAATCCTCTTCTATTTTATTCATTAGAATTTTATTGCTCAGACAAAGTGATAAATCCCTTGAGTCCAACTTCAATAACAGCTAATACCGGTCCAATATTAGAACACCTTTGCTGTCGCACTAACCTTGCCGGGAAGTACGCATTCAAATCAACACATCTCCACTACAATATTGCATAGCTGAACACCAAATAAAAATGCCTACCTTCAATGGTTTTGTGTCCTTTTTCTTAATTTTTTTCTTAATTCAGCTGATCAAATGACCGGAATCCGTAATCAATTCAACGCTAAATTGCATTTCAGCATTTCTCAGGGCACTTATTGCATTGATTTTTAGCTACCTTGTATTAGTGAAATTATTTCAGATTCAATTGACCAATCAGAATACTCATGTCGATGAAAGGTTTTATTAAAGCACAATAAAGCATGTATGTACCAGTATAGATATGGTACATATCATTTACTTGCAAATAAAATCTTGAATTGATTTACAATAAATCCTGTAAGTGTCTGAAATGGGAAAGATCTTAAATTAGGGGGGAAATTTCTGAAGATTAATAATTTTGGTTTTAATTTTAATAGTCAGTGAGTTTTGGTTACCAAGAAAGTTCAAAATACAAGAGAGGGTAGGTATCTTTACATCAGAAGTTTATCATTATTTTATATGTTATTATTTTTTGTGCAATTTGTTGTGCAATCAGAAGTTTATCATTATTATATCTATGTTATTATTTTTTGTGCAATTTGTTGTGCAACATAAAAAATTACATGATATTAATTTAGGAAAACAAATGTGTTGCCAACCATTAAATTGATGACAATATCATATTTCCTAATTCCGATATATGATTAAAAAAAAAAAAAGATAAGGGGTATCACGACTTATGCCACTGAACTTCAACCGAACCTAAAATACCAATGTCCAATACATTTTAAGTACATTAAACATTTTTATCCATTTTAAAAGAAACAGCATTGACGTGGCAATACAACACACACGAAATGATAAAAGAATTATTAACAACAACTAAATTCACACAAATGTTAGTACACTTGAAACAGACATAACTAAATTTACAGAAAGCTAGAGAAATACCTAAGAAAAAATGCAACATGGGAGGGGAGAAAAAACTGGAGACAGTAGACACGAATTAGATATACATATGCACACCCATATATCATATGCACACACTTATTTATGTTCATGTGTACACATTTATGCTGCTTGCATGGCATACTAACGTCTTTCATCATAACCAAAATATCAGTCACAGATATGACACTTTCTCCAACATACCAACATAGCAGCTTACAAATTTGTAGATTTAAATCAACATAAGCATAGCAGTTATTACAAAAAATACACATCAGTATGCGGCACATTTTCTAATGCAAAAATATATAAACTTGATGGAAAGTTATAAGAGAAAACATGAAAAAAAGGTAAATAAGTATTGTATACTGTCAAAATGCTGTATAGTATAGTGTAGGCACGCATGCCTACAATACTGTATGACACGGACATCTAGAGAATGCAAGCATGTTAGAGACTATAGATACGATATTAAAATATATTAATAGACCAGATCTATTCAGCATAGCATAAAATGGCCATTATATTGAAAAAAGGTATAATTTTTATTGACAGGACAAATAACACAATAATTCTCTAATTTCAATAAGCATGGTTTCATATGGATTTCCACTAGATACTTCACATGCAATTAACTTCATTTGGAAAACAAGATCAAAGTTCGATAAAAAAAAAAATAAACATAAATAATATTGGCGAAGGTGAGAGCATATCCATGACAGCAAACCAAATGAGAGAGCATTTCATGCAGACATCTACAAGGGATCATGTGAAATGTCTATGTAAAGAAGTATTTGTTATGAGTAGGATCTACAACAGTGGGGATTTTCACATTGATTAGATTAGCAACAGTGGGGAAGGGGGTGTTCAATATTGATGATATAAGATTTTTTTTAAGTGATATGAATTAAAGCTCTCCTTTTTTCTGGGTTTTAATTGGTTTCTTTGGAGCTACTGTAAGGTTGTAAGTATATCAATTATCCACTCAAAAAATCCAAATTTAAAAAAAAGTTGAGGCCAGACATTTATCGAACTTTGATTATTAAATAGACATTTTTTCACATTAATACACACATATACATGTAGACTTATATATGCGTGTAATATCTGTACCTGAATTATCTCTTGCTCAGAAGACGGCTATGGGAGAAAATGGAGGGAAAAATACAAGTTTTCATAAGTTGGGTTACATAATAAGTATAGAAGGCAACAATGAAAACAAAACATAGCTGATTCATACTGTAAATGTATCAAGCTGAGGAATGTACATTAACCACATATAATGGTTCATGCATAATCATCATAAATATTGTAAAGTACAAAAGTGTTCAGTCTGTATGCGACTGTTAGAATATAATATCCGCGATGAGAAAGGCAACTTTGTAGCAGAATTTATTTAATATGGTAATTACTATTAAAACAACTTGATTCAATAAAAGTTAAAAGTAAAAGCTCTACAGAGCTGAATGCTGAGATTAACAAAACAATCGATCTAAAAATAACATTTAAGTAAATAATGATTTATTTTATGACCTAAACATAATCATTATTATCAATAATTTAATAAAATATTCATTATTATTTTGAAATTAAATAGGAAGCTCAGAATGTTAACTAAATTAATGAACTAATTACATCTAATACTGTATGTTAGAAAAATATAAAGTACAAGTTAATATTAAGAGCTGTAAAAAGCAATTAGATCTTCTGTACATTATGCAGACTTAACACACTATTTTTCATTGCTTTTGTTGTTATTAGCATTTACAGTAATACATTCTACAGTATATATCATCACCAGTCACAATAAGCAAATAAGTGATTGACACTCGTCAAATTAACACTTCCATTTCCCTGTCATATGCTATAAAAAGTGAATGAAGCTGAAAATTTTCAAAGAAATACTAGTATACTCTATGTAATCAAGTCAAATAATAAAATAAAAATAATCAATTGTGAATTTAAATGCATTATACAACATAAAGAAAATGTAAATTGAACCAAGTCACACATTTCTAAAATGCTGGTTCTGAATAATACAACATAGCATTAGAGCAGCTAAGAGGCAGTGTTGAGTCGTGGTTCAATCAATGGAAACGTACTGTAGTTTATTCCTCCACACCTAATATTGTCCTTGCATACTTCGTTTTGCAGGTGTTTGAGCCGTGACCACATAATCCATTCGCAATCCATATGGATTGTCATTCTGACTGATTGATCACGTCATCTGTGTGCGTGCAAAGGCACAATGTTCTTAGAATGTCATTATTGCGTGATAATCAGCCGTATCCGTTAAAATGTCATCCGACAGTAGGCTGGACCACTAAGAAATGCGCAGTGCGCTGCTTAGCTCTGGCTGGCTCATGTTGTTGCTGATCGATGCTAACAGATCTGATTCTTATTTCATAATGAATAATCAATTTAAGGACTTCGGAACTAAGACACTTACTGCACAGCCTACAAACCACTAACTTGACCTTTCAAAAGTTTATATATATTTAAAAATTGTATAATATATCCAATGGCAAAATACCAATAATTGATCATGTCTAGATATCAGTGAGTTTACAAAATTGAAGTAAATGCTAAGTGGAATGAAAGACAAACATGGCCAAAGAGAAAGAGGATATTAAAGCTTCAGGAAAAATACTACTTTTATATTTCTTTGTCAATGGGATAGACATCAATAAGTAATTGGGAAAAATGTATATAAACTAGCAAAGGTTCAAAACAAGGGCGTAGGCTGGTTGGGGGCGCGCTGGAGTGCAGATACACCCACTTGTCAGCAAACTAGTTCCACTCAAGTGAGTTAAATTAATAAAAATGACAATTAAGTTTTCAATGCAATAGGGATTTAGTTCCACATTCTCAACTTTACACCCAACAATACTCCCAGTTCTGCATTCTCAATTTTCAAACAAAAACTTTAACAAAAAAAAAACTCTACCAATAATAAGGATTATCATTAAAAAAAAACAGTGCATAATAAATGCCCCTCTGTATAATTTATGACAGTATTTACAGACACATTTTGCAAGTTATGCAATATGGACTGATTGAAACAGACAACCTCTAGGTATAGAATAAATATCAAGTTCAAATATTAGATATATAGTACTGTAAATAATTCTACTTTCTTATTATAAATTGTTACCAAAAATAGCACTTATTTTACAAGTGAGGCAATATGGGACGGTACAAAGACATACAGTACACAACAACTAAAGCCTATGGTACAACATCAATAAAATACAACATAAGATAATACAACAGTATTAAACATAAAAGAGTAATTTAATGTTATCTAAAGAACACACAAAATAGTTTTAATATGAGAGGCTAGATATGCCAACAAAATTTAGATTACTAACAGTGTACAAATATTATTAAGTTGCTTAAATCTTGTTGTCTTGTAAACTTAACTAGTTAATAGACCTACTTGATACCTAGCAAGTACTCCATAGCTGAAGTATGAAACTTACAACATAACACACCTTAACTTAGAATTCTGTGTCTGTGTAGAAATCCTTGATATTTTTATACTCAAGATCCAGTTTCGTGAATTAATGTTCCTCTACATGACAGCTTCCAAGTAAGTAAATGCAGACAAAATGTATCAGAAATTATCCACCATCAAAAGGAAAACCACATCGCAAAAGCACTGTACCTTCTGTAGTAGTCTACTGGTGTTAAAGAAAGCTATTCCACTAACCTGTGAGTTGAGGATAAGATATTCGGCTTGTTGAACTATTGATTATCTTTTAACCGCTCCATATTTTATGGGCACCATGCGACACAAACATCAACCACACAAGGTCAATGGCAATTCCACGACAGAAACTGCCGAGTAAGCGGCAAATTTTGTTAATGAACAATTTGAATAATTTTTGCGAGAGAACCGTAGCAATAGTGTGCAGCAGTCGATGGTAGATCTATACCCATCAGTACAGACAGAAACATGTCCACATTTGATGCAATTTAATTATATTGATTGTTGCAAACACTACAGTCAACAAACTATTTCAGTTCAACAATTGTAAGTGTTTTTGACATGCATGATAAAGTATAAATTTATTCATTGAGTTGTTAATATGTATTATCATAGGATTGTTGCATTTTGTTGCTTTTATTAAAATTATGGGAATCAATCAACAAGAAAAATCCTGCGTAGTCTTTCTGGCAGAAACAATTTTAAACAGTTTTAAAAAGGTTTTTTTTAGTAATTCACAAACATAAAATTATAGATTAGAGCTGATACATGGGAAAGGAGAGATTGAGACCAACCTGGAGAAGAGGAAAATGGAATGATAGAGAAATGTAGGAAAGGGTATATAATAATATTGAAAGTGAAAATGAAATATAATAGAAAGGAAGAGATGGTGATGGTAAAGCAAAATGCAAGAGAGATAAAAGCAGGATTAAACTACAAGCAAAAGTAAGATGAAACAGGAGTGCAGTGGATATGGAAATGAAGAATGTAGTGTAGGTTAATCAGAGAGACAGCTCAACACAACATACCAAGTTAAAGTGGAATTATTAATACAGTACCTCGACAATACAAAGAATTCTATTTAAAATAAATTAATGGTAACGTAAAACATGGATAATCAATAAATATTTCCCAAGAATAGATGTTCAATAAGCGTGAGTAATCAGGATTCTCACTTAGTTCATCGGAATGCAGGGCTAGCCTGTTCCAAGCAGATGAGATGGACTAAAACATAACATCTCAGAGGGTTGAACAATCATTGATCACGCTAATGATATTTATGCAATTAATTCGCCGTTCTGAAGCCACTTTATTGCAATGTAATTCCAATCAACTCAATAATCGTTATACTGTATTAAAGTATACAGTACCTACTATTGTAAGGTTTCACACATCTTATAAAGTACAAGTTAATATTCTTGAATGGTCACGTTAAAAGGTTCTTTATATTACCCAAAATGCCTTTTGTGGAACAGAAGTTTAGATTGACCTGTGTAAAAGTGAGCTTTCTTCTTCTCGATAAACAAGGTTTCTTTAAAGAACATTGTAATTATTGTCCTTCGCGATGTTATACTGCTTCCGCAGGGTTTTCAGCTTACTGTTGACTTGTTTCGAGGACAAATCCACCCGGTATATAATATAGGGTATATTTTTATGAGTCCCATTTCTGCTGCAAAAAAAAAACACTGTATTTTAAAAATACCATATATATATATATATATATATATATATATACAGTATTTTTTTGGCAGCAGAAACAAAAACAATATTTTTAATTTGTTTGGATAAAACCTTTTATTTTTAAATAATATGATTAAATGATTATGGCAAGAATTACATTAAATGATTATGGCGATTTGATTGGCTGAGCGGTTAAGTCAGGGGCACTGTAACCTCCAGCTCTAATATCGGCGCTGATTCGAACAGCTTACTCGCCAATGGTTCTGGTGGTGGAACAAGTCTTCACAGATAAGGATTTTAAACCGTAGGCCCAGTGTACGCATTGTACTCGTGTGAACTTTAAAGAACCCAGCACATCCTTCGAGAAGAGTAGGAGGCTACTCCGGTGTACTGGTACTTTAAGTCACCTGTTGTTAAATGGATATGCCACATAGGGCAGTGATTAAGAAGTTCACTTATTGGCATATCCTTTGCACTTGTGCCTAAAGAAATGAAATGAAAAATGAAATAAAAATAACAATTTAAGTAGAGTTCTATAATGTTTATTTTATATAGTAGTACAGTACTGGTTTGTTCTGTTATTAATTAAATTCTTTCAATAATTCTTTGATGGATTCTTATCAATTATTTATATACAGGCTTCATCAAGGCCAGTTTCAATGCATAGTATGTGTTCTTGGCAACAGACAATATACCGTGTATCCTATAATGCAGTATACAAATCTATTTTTAAGTCGTTCATCCCAAAACACTGTGAAATATAAACATTTTACTGTAGCAAGTCTATACACAGCTAACATAATGAGACAGTATAGCACAAGAGGCGTTGACTCCTGAAAATTGATAGTTTCCCTGTACGATGATGATGCAGTCATCTTGGTACAGTCCCTTATATTGATTAGTTAGCCAGGGATCATCTAAAAAAATCGTCAACTGGCGAGTATCTCGCGCTGAGAACATAAAATGGGCCATGATCATGCTTCTTTGATCCGTCTTGCAGACACTTTTGTTTTCACGAGCTATCAGTAATGTCACGAACAATAGAGAATTCCTTCATTTATATCATTATAAAGATTCCCAATAAACTTGTCAAAAACACAATTAATGCAAATGTATCGCCTATTATGATTATATGATGCATGACTGGTCGAAAATACAGCATGTAATTATCATTGGGAACAGAGTGTACTGTATATTTGAAATTCTGTAATAATAATAATAATAATAATATAGACATCACAGGTCTACAGTATTCTGGTAAGTTTCTGAGAAAAAACAAATTTTGTCCATTAGGTTTCACACACAAGGTTTCACTCTAATTACCATCTGGTTGTTCTACCAACTTTGAGTACAAGAAGCTATATACTGCCTTACATTTTTCTATTATTAGAACTCATTTTTTCTGAAGGTACTGTATACCAAAGTCTTTTGATGAAATGTAAGTTGTAAGACATAAATATAATATAGTATAATATGAAATGAAGAGATATATGACTGTAAACCTTAACATAATATTAGGATAACAAACCAACGGTTTTCCACAGCACATTGCTTAAACCAGATATAAAATTATAATAATAAATGAACACCAATTATAATCCAATTTGGCATAATTTTGATTTTATTTTAGTTTGTATAGTCACATATGGGCATCTCAGACTTTAAAATATATTAATAAATAATGTAAATATTATGTGGTATTTTTGAGATATTGTATCACAATCCACATGTAAATGAAATTTAAGACTGATGGTTCCATACTGTATTGCACTCAGGCACTGTTAGTTACTTGCTTGTTATTTCTCATCAACTTCCACTTTTATTATTATGGTAATAAAAGATACAAATGATACCTCTTCTTATGAGCCATAATAGGATTTCAACACATTTTTCCTTGCATTTTGAAAATAGAGGTATGAGTACAGAGGTACAGAAAATGAGCAACAATGAAAAAAAAAGATGAATGATGTACACAAACCATAGAGGGCACTACATATTTGGAATTCAAATTTGAGGAAATTTGATCCACAGCTACCTGTGTGGTACAAAATGTTGTAAATCAAAAGCATGTATTATTTGGGTAAATAAAACTAATTATCTGTAGTAATTCTCACATCACCTATATTTTAACTTGATAGTGTACAGTAAGCTAATGTTGCTACAGTGATTAAGAAAAATTTACCAAAGTTTCATTTGTTTAAGCCTGGTGCACAAAACAATAATACAATATACTTTGTGTGAGCACTTAGAACTCAGAACTCAAAAAAAAAAGTTGATGGCATCACATAGCACGGTAGGGAGACGCGTTTCAGGAACCCCGGTGGCATATGTACAGTATAGGGAAATAGTACAAACATAGATGGACAAGCATCTGATATTAAATTATATTTGAGGTTGAGGGTGTAGAGTTATTTTTGAAGTCGTTATATTGTAGGACATATATAAGCCAATCAAAGGCAGGAATCTAAGTAAGCCACACAGTCCCACATATATTTCTGCAACCAAGAAGCCACTCACTTGCTGTAACAGACTTTTGATGATCATCAAACCAATCATTTGAACTTGATTAATTTTTATTCTTCTCTGTTGTTGTTAAGCGCCTCGAGGTTGTGTCAACGTGAGCGGCTATATAAATCCAGAATTATTATTATTATTATTTATTAACAGATCTACAGTACTCTGATTACTTTATTGCATCAGAATGAAGTATGTACATCATCACTTGAGCCTGTGGACTTCTCCGATTCAATTATGCATCACAATGGTCTCGTTCAAGGACACCGTCTTTGTACTCAACTTGTGCATTGTTTTTGAAGTCTATTAAATTTCATATTAACCAATAATGTTGGCAATAATACTGCATGTCTGTAACCATGTCAGGCTACTACAGTATATAGTGGATATATAGTGGATAAAGCAATTTTGACTACTGTATACTGTAGGTATGTACTATAATGAATGGAATTACCGTATTCACTCGAATAAATGCCCCACTTTAAATAAATTCCCCCCTCTAGAGCCTCATTTGAAATAAATTCCTTAAAACCCTTCTCAACAATAAACAAACATTTATTTGAAAAAATATGGGTAATCTCAATTTTAAGTCCAAGAACGCTGGCAATGAAAAACTCGAGTAAAGTGTAATTACATGGTATTGTTCAATACATGTTTGTTTCAATAAAAATTACTGTACAAAAGAAGACAACATGGAGTTTTTGATTGCACAATGACGGTAGGACCTAGAAAATAATGACGTCACTAAAAGTCATCTGCGCATGCGAGAACGTTAACGTCTCCTCATTGCGTGGATTCTGGAATGTACTTTGGCCAAATCTATGCATGCAGAGAACGTAGGACAGCAGATAGGACGGTCACGCATGAGCAACTCCGTACTAGCGTCGTGTCGTCGAACAAATCAAATGCTCCCTAATGACTTTGGTAGGGTACACAAGATTGTGATTACCATTTAGACGCTCTACCAACTGGCCGGGGCTGACTATATAAGGCCAAGCTGGTATGATTTTCGCATTAGGACATAGTTTTTTACTCAAAGCATCACACAATATGAACACCTAGAACAGAGCCTTGGGGTACACCAGATGTGACCAACACACTGCTAGATACACCTTCAATCACCACTGATTCCATCTTGTCACTGAGGAAGTCTGTGATCCTGTAGTTTCTGTGTTGATTCATTTACCATATATGTATAATGGTGCCTCCACATTTCCAGATAAAGAAAGTTTCTCTGCTGTTAGAACTACTTCGTCACTTTCAGTTACTCTGCACACCAATGGCACCTCCAGACCCTCATTTCTCTGTCACCAGTGGCATATCTATGGGGGGGGCACACGCCCCCAAAAAATTACTCTAACCCCACTAGTCACCCCCACCCCAAAAAAAAAAATCACGGTCAAGTAGTTAAAAATCACCTAAAATCACCTTATTTTGCGAATTAGCGCCCCTCAACTGATCCCTCCCACTTCACCTTCGCACCCCCCATTTCAAGACTTGAAATACGCCACTGTCTTTTTATCATTATCATTACTTATCATTGTCAATGTTACATTCTACCCATGCAATTCCACCACTGTGATGCTAAATACTTTCCCAACTGTTGCCTGCATTCTATCAAATGTGCTTTATAATAATATGTACAGTACAGTATATTCAAATAGCATTGACACTGTGGCTTGAGCTAACAGTATATAATCATCATTTTTATTATTATAATGAAAACTTGTTATTCCTCATACTGCCAATATTCTCAATAATCCCTGAGCACTAATCAATAATTAACTACACTCAGTCTGTGGCATATCCATCTTATCAAGCTGGTTCTGACTTAAATTAAAATGCATGATTACTTACAATTGAGTCACTTTAACAAGATTAATTTTAAATTTTTTTTGACAATTGACTTTATTTGAAGATAAAATTCTCTTTTCATCTCAAATTAAACAAATTGTTGCATGTACACAAGAAGCGTTTGTCTATAATGAGCATGTGCTATTACTTTTACACTCTCGCTTTTGTCAATAACATTTTATTTTATATTTTCTCCCTGCCATAGCTGCCCTTTTGGGGCAGAACCATAAAGGGAAAAAATGTACAGTACTCATTTTTTGGGCCATCCTTTATCTTTCATATCTCTTCATAAAAACAAATATTTGTTGATTTTGAAACATATTAAAGACTTATAAATATATAAAATATCTATTTAGTCATTTCTAAACTTGAAAGAAAATGCAAAACAGACCAAATTTGATTTATTTTTGTGTGCATGTGGATGGTAAAAAATTAGGTTAAACCATATTTCCTTCATAAAAATAAATATTTGTTGATTTTGATACATGTTCGAGACTTATAAATATATGAAATATCTAGTTAGTCATTTCTAAATATGAAAAAAAAAATGCAAAATAGATCAAATTGATTTTGTGTGCGTGTGTGGACGGTAAAAAAAATAATGCTGTTGGATTTCTACTTTCAATTTTGTGAAACGTCTATCTGTGAAAGAAAACTCAGTAGGTACAAAAAAGTGTCTTTCAAAATGTGTATTAGGGAAGAACTCATTGCAGATTTTTCATATTATTACAATTCGTATTCAGTAATACATTAGATCTTTCTCAAGTTTATTCAAAACAGTTTTATAGTATTTAATATAATACTTTTTTAGTTGGTGGGGGAACACCCTTGCAAACTTGCATTTTACAGATATTAGTTGTCCAAAAATTTATCGAACAATCTTCATTAATCTAACGATCTATGAGTTGCCAAAATGTTCTCACTTAGTCGAATGGCTACAACAATAATGATGCTGTTATTTTTTTTTTAATCGGATTTTGAAAGATAGTTCCTCTAAACATAACTTGGACAAGACACTTTACCTACACTTGTCCTTGTCCACCCAGGAGTAAGGTGGTTTCCTGGCAGGTTTCTGTTTGTATGCAAATACGCTGGTTATCAGCTGTAACATTATGGAATCCTCCCCCGGGAGCTGAGTATGTGTTCCATAGGTGTGTGATCCAATGTTAATATACATGCATGGAAAAATATTGCTAGCTTGAAGTGTGAACAAAAAATGAAAACAATTTTGTCGACCTCCAAAGGAAAAAATTAAAGAAAGCAATTTAAAGTTTCTTTTGTGGAATATGTTGTACAAAAGACGGAATAAAAATAAATGGTCAACGAGAAAATAAAAACATGATGCTGGTTGCTAGTGTAATGAATGTTCTATTGCAATAATTTGAAAAGGATTTATATACTGCTTTATATTTTGATGATAACTATCATGACAGCTTCAGCACACATCAAAATGTGATTTTAAACATCATTAGTCCTCCTTGGAGCATTATGTGACTTGATGGCAATGGATGGATTCCCTACAAATAAGTCACATACAGGGAGAAACCAAACTAGAAATTTGGTGATTCAACCTATAATTTTCTATCCTTGAAAGTTTGAACTCCAAACAAGTCGATTACAACATTGTTATATTTTATATTACCATACGTGGAAGCGTGTGCTGCAACCGTAAGGCTTCCAAATGACTTTTTGGGCGTGTCAATCTAAATTTACTGAACATTTAAAACAGTGCTATGTATATACCCATGTATGACAAACGCATGTTAACATATGTTTACGCATGGTTTATGCCATTGTTCTGTAGACCTTAAAAATATCCAATGGGCGAGGCTTAACGGAAACGTCCCATTGGCTGGTCATAAGTCATTCTCTATTACTTTAGAAATAGGTTACTATAAAGGTGACAAATTGTAAGTGCCGGGTTAAACTATCAGTGTATCATACTACACACGTTAACAAACAGGCTTTCAGAAGGGCGTGTGAGCTTAGTGATGAAATAAGTTTTACATTTGCGTGATTTTCTATTATTGAAGGGTTATTGTAAACAGGATACGAAATCTGGCAAGGGACAATTATCCTCATGTTTTCCTTAATTATACGGGCTTTTGTTTCTATTTCCAGTGAATGCTAGTTGGTTCCCTAGGTTCCATAGTTCCGTGTAAATGTGTACTCAAACACTGGTATGATGTTGTTTAGTGATAACAAGCATAGCAACATAATGGTAGGATAATGGTAAGCTAATTGGACTTTAATACCCAATTCCCACACCAGAACAGGAATATCTTTCCCGATATTTCCAAGATTTGTCGCTTTCACACAACTATATGAACCTTGCTAAAATTCAATTCATACGGAGACGGTGAAGATACACACAACTCCTAGATAAGCTACATCCCGTTACCATGCAAACAGACCCTGGCTACAGTAATTATTTCAGAAAATTTACAGTTCTTTTTTAAATCTGATATAAATAAAATGTATCCGTCTGCTCTCCTAGTAGTATTCCTACAAGAATATGCATTCTCAGAATGTATATTCCTTGCTAAGGAAAATATCCTTGGTACAATTTTCTAACGTTATTACATTTTCTTTCTTGTCAATCAGGTATACATTTCTTCAAAGCACACTTTAACTTCAAAATGAGTTACGGTATAGCTGAGATCAACAAAAATTTCACCGTGCGTAGGCAACACAACAATACTTTTTGTGGGGATGAAAGTTTCAACAAATTTAGCTTTAAATGTTGAAAAATATACCATCTTTCATATTACTAGAAGAACACATTAAATATGAGACAGACTATTAGTATTCCATCCATAACATTCAATCTCACCCCTAAATTCTAGGAATCAGCACATATTAATAGCATAGACCAATCAACTGAAGGCCCTTAATAAACCAAAGGTGGGATAAGTATCCCATAGAATGGTAATTTAATGACAGAATCTATGTTATTTAATAGTATTTAATATTGCATGAGCTGTGTAGATAATATACATAATTTTACGGATTATCTACTATATCATTACTAAATCATAATACATAAAAATATACATATAAAATTTATAAACTCAATTAGTCATGACGTCAATTATGTATTTCTATGCCCCATAAATTAAATACAAACACAACATAAAAAATACAAGTTACTGTAGTGCCACCACAAGGCTATAAGACGATACTGATGAAGATGCAATGTCTATTTACTATAGGCAAGATCTTGTTTCTCTGAGCACGACTGCCCATTAATAAAATTATGATTTGAAATTATTATTGTCATTATCAAAGTCATTAAAAATCTCAATAATTATAGATATCAATTGGCCTTTACTTCTTCGACAGAAGGACATGGTGGGAGCATTTTTTCTTTAATTTAAAATGTTAATTGCTATGTTTGAAAAAAAAAACATACTAAAACTGGTTTGTTCCTATCGCTCTGTTATAAATATAGTAAACTCCAACCTGATTCCAATTTAATGATGCATACTACCTCAGAAAAAAAAAACTGATCGTTAAATAGAGGATCTTGATTCGTAGGAATTATGTAATGGACCATATCTATCCAGGAGAAACCAAAATAAGCACAAGTCTTGCAATACTAGGCAAAATGCTAATGAGCAAAAAGCAATGAGGTTTCTAAATTGGAGTTGCATAAAAAAAATTCAATGCTAATAATACAGATGATAGAGGAAATATTAGCATATTCCTTATTTTGATACTGTAGAAAAATTAATTGCTGTGGTCACCTAAGGCTGATATAGCAACATTTTGCAGTATGGAACATAGAGTAGGCAAAATTCATACCCTGATAGCCAGCTTTAGTAATTCAATTTATATTCTCAATAACAGTATAGTACCTTTAATCCAATACCATATTACACAATATAAGAAATATTTAAAGTAGGCCTACATGAAAATATACAGTGGAAATTATGGTACTATCTGTGACTATATGTAGTCTATTTCAACAGGATTAAAACATTTACTACAATGAATTATTTCAATTTTATTTAATTCAATTTTTTAAAGTATTCTCAACATATACAGTATCTTTAATTCACTACCATACAATTTAAGAAATGAATAAATAATAGTGGAAATTATGGTATTATCTTTGAGTTTTTGTAGTAGTACTGTAGATGTATTATAGGACTAAAATATTTACAATACAGATGGCTAGTGTTAGTTCTACCAAAACGCTAACCAGAAAAAATAACAATTCATAGCTACATGTAACTGTAGCTACAAACATTAATTAATGATAAATTATCAAGCATGAATTATCTAGAAAACCTATAGCCTAATTATATTGTCATGATGACATCACATCATGACCATATATAGGGACATCATGACTATATATGGGCATTCAACAGTTTGATAGTGTGAATACAGCTTAAGAACAGCTTACCAACACTCGCAAGTAGTTTACTGCCTGGACGACAAACAAAATCAATTCACATCCATCATATCATCCATTTACTCTCAGACATACACCGGAGCACAATCCAATATTGGGAGTGACTATTTCAAGGTTCTTTATGAATATTCATTAGATGAGATTATTCATTAATAAATTAAATACATATTCATTAAAATAGAAGCCTACAATAATTGCTGTCCTCATGAATTGGAAGAGACGGTACATTTTCTAAGACACACACTGAAGCACAACCAATATTCGGAGTGACTATTTCAAGGTTCTTTATGAATATTCATTAGATGAGATTATATAGTAATAAATTAAATGAATATTCATTAGGATAGGAAGGCTATAATAATTGCAGTCCTTAAGAATTGGAAAAGAAGGTATATTAAAAATTTTTTTTAAACAGAGTCATGAATACTTATTAGACTAGATAATACAAAATATCGAATGATTATTAGAGGCTTTATAAATCAAAATTTATATAATAGTTAACCATATATGATTCAATAGTTACACATACTCTAAAATCTTTATGAATATTCATAATATGCATATTATCACCTGCTGCATATTAATTGAACTTGAACAGCTGATAGCGGAAATTCAAACAGTAAAACGATACAAATTAAATAAAACAATTTCAATGCCATTTTCATTACATTTGTTGCAAATTGATACATACGTACAGGTAAATACATACTCTAAGATTTAAACAACAGCTAATTACAGGCTTCCTACTACTAATGAATTAGGGGGAAAACTACACCTTCAACGATACTACTGTAACAAATTAAAACAGGTTTATACACTTTCAATGATATAATCTTCATTAAAATTAATAGAGGATGCAAATTAATGTGCTACATATTTATTAGTTTAACTTAACAGGCTACTTATGAACTGAAGCAGGTACAGCGCATTCAAGATGAGCTGAAAATCAATAGTATGGCAACAGAAAGCATGTCTTCTTAAGCTGGTAGTCTTCATAATAATGCATGCGCTCTGCTCTCTAATTTGGCTCTGGACTTGTGAAGGCTACGTTACATCCACTATCATTGTAGTAACTATGGCCGACTGCATTCCATTATGCACAAACATCCATTTTTCTTGAGCAGAAAACAGTTGTGATATTAAATGTAATAACAAGAGACAACAGATTGTACCATTTTAATCCACAGCATGTTATAAATAGCATGGACAGTTAAATTTAGGACTATGTTTACATAGTATTCTCCGGTGACTGTTTATTATAAGAAGGCAGAAAAATTGTATACTACATTAACTTCATATCCATTTATAATCAGAGTATAACCAGGATGGAAGCCTAAAAAAGACTGACTAAATATTTCATTACTATAAAACTTCTTAACACATTCGCTGCCAGCGACGAGTGTGCGCCAACCACAAGCATATTTGTAAAAAACAGTGTAACATTAGTGTTTATTACTTCACTGTTATACATTGTAGAACCAGTCTTTACCAGCTGGTAGTTCTAAAAAGATCTACATACAAATAACGTATGTTTGTTGTGTTATATTGCCGTCAGTGCAAAAGATGGCACATGTGGGGGGGGGGAGACGCCCTCTGAAAATATACCAGCCTATACAACAATAGGATGAGAAAACTTGCATTTGCCACAGGCAATAAAAAAAAATTGTCCTATTGCCAGTGACAAGTTTACTTGTCCCCTAATAATTCCCAACAATTTATTAGACATCATTTTAATGACTTATAGCTACCATCCAGGCCCGTAGCCAGGGGGGTTTTTTATGGTTCGGGCGAACCCCCCTTTTCTAGCGAACCCCCTGTTTAGTGCAAAAGATGGCACATGTGGGGGGGGGGAGACGCCCTCTGAAAATATACCAGCCTATACAACAATAGGATGAGAAAACTTGCATTTGCCACAGGCAATAAAAAAAAATTGTCCTATTGCCAGTGACAAGTTTACTTGTCCCCTAATAATTCCCAACAATTTATTAGACATCATTTTAATGACTTATGGCTACCATCAGTTATATGATTTGAAAAAAGTGTGTTTTCATATAGTTTGGCATCATGGTAATATTGTACAGTAGGCGTGGCATGAACACTTTTGCTCACTTTTGCTTTCATAATTTGCCTGATGAAAAACAGAGGGTATTATTTAAGACAAAATTTGGGTTTACGGTTTAAAATTTTCATATTGAAAACTTTGTCGGTGTTTAAAACAATTTGTTTTTCAAAGATTTAAATACATTTTGCCATCTCAACATTGGCAATGCGTACTTGCCTTTCCTTTCATACTTGCAGTTTGTTTAATAAAAACATTTAATTAAAACATTACCATGAAAATGATTTAAGAACAGTTGAGATTACTACTTCAAAGAAAAAAGCAAGAACATGTTTGCTCTCAAAATATTTTAATTTCATAAGCACATTCAAAATCAGATCAGAGAGGTATCAGATCTATAACACTAGACATAGACCGTGTCATCCCTCACTCATGAGCAGATAGCTTATACCGAACAGACTAAAACTAATAAAATTTCAATCTAAAATAATAAACAATTTGTTGCATCATTGGCAATAAGAATTTCATTGCTTCTTATGCTAAAATCAGTATTAAAGCCGTTCAATATTGACCTAACATGGTGCCACGGCCGTGTGAATCAATAACTTGTGCAATGGGCAAAAGATTTCAATCCGTAGAATCACAAAAGTGTTGATCTGCAATATGTAATACGTTATTCAACAACAATCTGGAAGGATGGAGAGGAAATGCTCCATTTCCCCCATGTATGGAGAAGACACGCGGGGGCCGAATGCATCGATCGCAAACCATCAGTCACTCGGAAAAATCCTACGTATACATTGAAATGGTGTTGATCAAGCCGTTTCCATGGTGTTAAGATTTTAATAATGCCACAAACTGTAGAATGTATATCCATTCAGAAATGATGCCTCTAGCTAGCAGATGTTTGTCATAGACATTAATAAGCACGTTCGCATATTTTTTTACAAACCTGTATTTGTTTTCAACAGATTAATACTGAGAAATTTAATTCTGTCAAACATTATCCCATGATTTTGTTTGCATTGTTGTTGCATTACATATAATGTACTATGACTTTAATCTTAATTATTTCAAATTAATATTAATTATATTTCAAGCTATTCATCATAGGCATGTTCACAATTTTTTAGAAATCTGTTTTGAATTTCATTTTTCTTGATATTGCATGCACTGATGTTGCATTGCATTATTATAATAGAATACTAATAATAATCTTATTTCCCTCTAATTATATTATATTTTATCTCAATTATATAATTACTGTATGTACAATACTGCTGTAGCTTCGAAATGTTAAAAGGTTTAGTGATTACTCTAGGCCCAGAAGTGGGAAATCTGGGGAGGAAGAATAATATTTTTAATGTCAAAATTGAGTCTAAAATTTGATGTGTATTACTGTAGTCTACAGTTATGATTTTAGATTTTTATTTAGGTAATTTTGACTTTTCTATTAGTTTTTTGTGGATGTTTTATCAAGTGTCACTGTTCCAAAATTGTAGCTTATTTGAGAAAAAAAAATTTTATTAAAACATTTTTAAAAATTAAATTAATTGAGGATAACATAACAAGTTAAATTTAATATTCAAAGACAGATTCTATTTATTTCTTATTTCAAATAATCTTTTGCAGAAATAATATTTTGATTCCAGGAAAATATTATTCAATGTTTGTTCTTTTATTTATCTTGTATAATTATCGTTTTTAACTTTCCCAATAAAAATTACTATTCCAACAACTGCAAACGCAATCAGTTGTACACTGTACTGCTGGTGCTAGACAACCAAATTGATTATAACAATTAATAACAGTCTATTTCCGTGTTAAGACTCAAAAATCTAATTCAATGTGCAAAATACAGTTGTGCAATAAATTCTTATCGTTACTAGCAACTAATTGGCTCACTATAGTACTTTAACGCAAAATCCAATATTGATATTGGATGTATGCAAATGAACAATGAGTAAACATATGTCAGAAACAAGTCCGAATGCAGAACTCAACCAAAGCCAGGCCTCAAAAATCATATATTGATCTATAATTCGTATAACACTGTAAAAGTAAATATTTTTGATCCTTAATATTTATGAATTAAATCATCTTTATCAAATTATGAAATACACCTGTAAAATATTGGAGTTGTAGCAGTTATTGTAGGCCTAGAGTATGCCACATCATTTTTTAGGCGGTGAGGCTGGATTCAAATCTAGCCTGTCTGTTGTTGGATCAGTGCAAATTTTGATATAACCAATTTTGAAATTATATTTGGATAAAATCTACAAATACAGTAATTCCATAAAGTTTCTTAATCGGCATAAAAAATATCCAATATATACAATACTATGCAAATATCATAAATTTGGTTTTTTCGATAATGTGAGTAGAGATGTAGCTTGATGGTCAAGATACTTGTCTTCTAACCTCAGTGTCCTAGGTTCAAATCTTGAGATAATATAGGAGCCCAACATAATTATACTGTAGATAAGATACCAAATGTTATCTCTCTAACTGGCAGAGAATGGCAATCTAAATTTAAATATAATCCGAGAGCGCAGCAGCAGGTGGCGGCGCGGAAAACAGCGGAGCCGAGTCCGACGCACCTACCGTGGGAACCAGTGCCCCCGGTCTGCAATGGTCAGCCTGCCAAGCCTTAATAGTTACAAATCGGGATGACGGCCAACGTATGCCTATCTCACAAGGAGAATCGGCCGAAACACCCCTCTCGAAAAAGAATGAGGAAGGCATGGTTGCGGGGCCGCTTGTGCTTGGCGCCAGGAGTCGACTGTTCTATTATTTTTTGAGGGGTGTTTCTCATGTTAGAAAGAATAGGCAATTAGTCGGTTATCCAGGTACGTATTCACGAAGTAAACTTAAATAAAATTTTCTTTTTTTCTCCAATTTATTTTTAAATTTCCAAACATTTAAAGGTCGGTAGTAGAATAACCCATAAATTGCAGCATCATTGTGCTGAATTGCGTATGGGCATGGTTTGTGACTATCTAGCAGCCGTAAAGAGGCGCTTCTTGGTAGATATATGTACACATCATTCCACAACGACAGGGGCTGAAATGAACCATAACATCGAGGTAACCACCTACTCTTCCGAAAGATGCAATGGGTTCTTTAAAGTGCACACAAGCTTGATGGTTAGGGGGATCCAGGCCAGCTGGGGGCCCATTGAATCCGCCTACGACTTTATCATAAAGTGTCAATGTTATTGTCATATTCAACATATTGCCAAACCTTTAAAATATCCAGGAGTGACAAACACACCACCACCACAGCTAAAGCACTGCACTCTGTCCTTCCCCTATCCCAACCCTTTGTACTGCGAGAGGTTTTAAATTTACTATTTCTACATCAATTTTATCCATATATTTTCAATAAAGTATGGTAAACATCCTGCTTTTGGACAAATGTAATATAGTAAATTATTGATATTGATTGGTATGAACAAGCAATTCCTTGGTGGATAAGGACACAACAATTTATAGTTGGTTTCACTTCCGAATTTTATGGAGGTAATCTTATTTATTATTTAGTATAATTTATATACTTTCCAATAAATTACAATGGTTTCCTTGAGGGAATGCAAACTCAGTCAAGGATGAAAGCTTAAATATTCATTAAAGGTCGACACGTAAAATTTTATGTTTTTCTTTTTCAGATTATAAGTCAGGACTAGCTTACTCTAGCATTCTTGATTCCACACTCAGTAAGCTATTTCACTTGATTGGAGATTCTGTAATTAGACAGTATTCAACAATTACAGTTTATAATCCAACATTACAAATTCCATCTCTTACTGTAATAAATTATGATTATCAATTTTTACATCTGATAGACTTTACTGTACTACTCCAGTACTGTAATTCAGTATTACTAATTATCATTTTACTAGGTTTCATTTCTTCGGTTATTTCCTAAATTAATTTCAAATTAGTTATAATAATTATGAATTTCTATATGAGAGTAATTTTGTATTCTATTTCTAAGGATTATAAATAATGTTGTTATCGGGGATGTTTGTTGTATATTTTGTTGTAATACACTCTC